TGCGCCCCTGATTGTTTGATAATTCTGATATAACAGCGACGTCCAGATCCCGCCCGCTGACTGTCCCCACATCACTCTCCTATCCCTCCACAGACAACCAGGATTACTGACCCCTGTCAGCCAGGACTGGCCCATGGCAGGAGCATGGCAGTGCCCCTCTGCATGTGTCCCCCGTAGCGCCCTCGCGCCTTCCTCCACGCGCCGCCACCCCACCAACAAGTTCTGGCATGGCGCCGCCTTCGTTGTGGCGACACCAACGTAATCCCCCGTTGCCCAGATATCGCCCCCCCCCCAGCGGCACGCGTTAGCGCTGTGGTAACGGGACCGCTGAATTTGATGAAGAATTTCGATGTGACCCTGAGGCCCACACCTTGTATAGCCACAGAGGACTGTCGATGAACTGCATTTTATACTTTTATAAATTTATATTGTATATATTTTTATTTTTTATCAGCTATACGTTTTGGATCTGCACCACTATGTACGTACAACAAAGCTTAGGGGGAAGGGGTTGAAGGGCTTTCATAAAAAATGTAATTTGATTATTAACGCTCTTAAAATAAGAGAATCAGAACACGCTAGATAAAATCAGTAAAATATGCAACTCATGTTTGATGCGTAAATGGTACAAACAAGCAGGTGTTAGTACAAAGATCTGATTTAAAATTTAAAAAAAAAAAAAAAAAAAAATCAGATCATGAGTTCAATTTGTCAAACTTCAATCATTCGCAATCTTCAAGGCTCAAGCATTAAACAAACAACTCACGTTCACAACCAGTTGCACAATTCAGAACAAACAAGATGAAATCCAAGCCACACGATATGAGGACTTAAGGAATTTGGAAAACACTGTCTATACAATCGAGTTTGTGTGTACTAGGATGGACGGCTATGGCCACCAGCAATCAACAATGAAGGATGAACTCTCCTCCTTTGACCCTTTCCTCTCTTAATGTCTTGTCTTTCTCTCGCCTATATGTCGTACACTGGTAGTAATGGCACCCAACGCCCCTTGACTACTCTCTCTCTCTCTCTCTCTCTCTCTCTCTCTCTCTCTCTCTCTCTCTCTCTCTCTCTCTCTCTCTCTCTCTCTCTCTCTCNCTCTCCCCCCCCCCCCCCCCCCCCCCCCCCCTCTTCCTGTGTGTGTGTATGTATGTGTGTGTGTGTGTATGTGTGTGTGTGTACCCATGTGTGTGTGTGTGTGTGTGTACATGTTTGTGTGTGCTTCACTCTTCGCCTGATCACTCCTTAGCATAGAAGTACTTCCGCACAACCACGAATACAATGAATGATTTAAGGCAACAATTTATGTGCTCTTATATTGGGGGATTCAGCTTTCATGGCTTGGACATGCAGACCCATTTGACTAAGTATTCTGGGCCTCTGAGAAAGATTAAACACAATGGACCCAAAAGTAGAAGAAGATGCCTTGAGCATTAATATCGCGGTGTACAACATCTTCCCCTCTACCTTTCCATAACAGAGTTACGAAAACTCAACCCTTCAACTCAATACACCACTCAGATTGAGGATACCTACTGTGTAATATGACTTTCAATATCCGAAGTAGGTTAGCTTCCTACTTTCTACGCATCGGTACTACGCCAGACATGTAGCCGGGAAAAATTGAAGATTGAAAATGCATGGAGTCAGCAATTCCAACCAAATTCTTACAATATTAATTCCTAGTACAGGGTCAGCCGGGCAGGCCCGACGACCCACCGCTCTGCGATGAAATCAAAAAATGTATGTGGTCGCCAATTATAGCCATATACTAGCAAATTTAATTTTTAGTGAAGCGCCCGCTTGGAAGGCCAAGCGTCACGCCACTCAGCAATGCATGGAGACAGGTAACCAGGTAAGTACATGCTGAAGAACCAGTCGTATGATATGAGCCGAACGGTAGATTTGTTCCCATCGACGACGTTAAACTCAATCCGCAGTAGATCGAACTCGTAATCGCCGATGTATTGGCGCTCCTGAATCCGCCCAGTTCCCGGAACATGTCCAGGCCGATCCAAAACCGACCAGATGAATGTGGCCGCAAAGATCGATAGATACGTCTCAAAACTCCCTGCGTGATGTTACCCTAAAGGTAATCGTGGTGAACCGTCACCGTAAATTTGTTTCCATCGACAAAGTTAAAAACTCAATCCGCAGTAGATCGGACTGGTAATTGCCGATATATTGGCCCTCCTGAATCTGCCCAGTTGCCTGGACGTACGTGTCTAGGTAAATACAAACCAACTGGATGAATATGGCCAAGGAGATCGATAGATACATCTCAAAATTGTGGTAGCAGTCGGAGCCTGCCTGCCAGCAGTTCTTCATGCGTGGTCCGGTAGGTACCGTGGAGACCAGTCTCCGTCTGTAGATCGCCCCGCAGAGTTACAAACATTGCGGGAAGTCACCTATAGCTCAGATGCTTTTCACTACCTCCTGCATCTGGGCCCAAAAGGGGTTATTACCATCACGTCGTTGCATCCATCTGAGTCCAGATAGGACGATATTGTTGTCATACCCAAGTTTGCTGATTTCAACTGCCAGTATGAGTACGCTGAGACAGGTCATACCCATATCACTACAGTTCTCAGAGATTCGGAGGATGGTGTTTGCTACAGTAGCAAATTTGGCAGTTTTTGGCCCAAAAGAAGCAGGGTGCTTATAGGTCTGAAACTGCAGGTCACTTGGGAAAAGCTAGAGCAGCAGGGGAGAGCACTTCCTTGGCGCAAGTGATGTCTGAAATCTCTACAGTACCCCGCTGCAGTGCTGGTGTGGCACTGGTGGGACAGATTATGGCAGCAGATAGTCCCGGGATCGCTATGGTCGTGGGAATGCTAACGGGACACTGCCCCGCCCTCATGGATGGGGGATTCAGGGGGAATATGTTCAGGCTGTCCAGACGGACGATTTTATGGGTCCTCTGGCGGCAGAGATGTGTGATGATGGAGATCGAGGGAGCGAGGGTGGAGACAGGGGAAGTAACAAAGCAGGTTAAGCAGCTGGTGCAAGCAGAGATGGAATTCATGCACTCAAAAAAGATCGGGACAGTACTATTTCTCGTCCTTGCGAGGAATGGCTGGGGGGGGGGAAGGGGGGGGCTGGGTGGCAGAGGTAACCTGGTCAGGGGACATAGCACAGCAGGAGGCAAGGGAAGAAGATGGGATGGGGCACGGATATGCTAGAGACTAAAATCAACTCCATTTCCTCGATCGAACATCGGTGGTGGACCCCACCATTTCTCTGAGACCCCCATCTGATTTCTTCGACGCCTTCCCTTGGCACACGTTGTCCATTATAGAGGTCATGGGAATGGGGAGGAGGGGGTAAGAAGCGACAAGGTACTGCTTTTGTTTTCTGAGAGTGGTATGGGACGCTGGACCCGTTTTCCAGCATGGTGTCCGTCCATATTTGCACTCTGGCCCTCAAAGGGACAGTGGTAGTGACACAGGCAGGGTGAGAGAACGCAGAGGGTCACCAATGCCCCTTGGGACCTCTGCTGCCCCCAGAGCCCTGTTTTTTCTGTAGAACCTAGAGGGACACTGTACCCGGTTTCCAGCAGCATATAGTCTTGATCCTTACCCAACTCCCACTGTTTACAGCCTATGCCGGGCAATGGCCCCAGACTTGTTGTGTATTTCGTATGTTTCCCTACAGGGACACTGAGCCCGGTTCCCAGCAAGTGCTGCTCCCGACCAATAGATTTAAGCTTGGTTTTCGGAAGAAAAAAAAAAAAGAAGGAAAAAAAAAGGCCTTGCATTGCAAACTGACTCAACTGGACTGGACTGAACTGGGTTCGACCCAACTAGCCTACCACACCCTGTGATACCAGGGACTGAGCGGACTGATTGGACTGGGCCTATTCCAACCTACTGGACACTGGGCTACTGAAAATCTACCCGGGACTGGGTTGAACAACTACCAGCCCAACCTTGGACCCTTTGACATTATGGTGTCGAAGTACTAAGATTGCAGGTTCCTTGCATATTATTCGTGCTATTATAATTTATAAATTAACAAATCATTATTAAACATACTTGCAAGCGGACGGCATCTGGGCGGTTCCGCACGTGTGGCAGACCGCCGGACCGGACCCGCGGGGCGCACGAATGACAACCAGTTACGCCCCACMCCCCCCCCCAAAAAAAAAAAAAAACGGCCCCGTCTGGTCCGGGGGGAGGGTGCCGCACGCGGCAAAGCGGACCCGACCAGACACTCGTCCGGTCCGTCTGCTTGCAAGTATATTATTAAATAATGTAATTCGAGCAAGCATGATAGTGTATGTACTTCATCTCTGGTCAGTGAATTGTACACAATGTTATTCAACTCTTGATAAACTGACCAGGAGAGTTTTTTTTTTTTTTTTTTT